GTCAGGCATGTTCGCTGAGGCTGCGCCACGTTGCCGCAGGTGTCGCCTCGTGTGTGTTCTTTGGCGCCCTGTGGGGTGGGTGGGTCTGCCAGGGCTGCGCCGCGTTGCCGCCCGTGCCGTCTCGTGGGCGTTCGTGGGCGCCCCGCGCGTTGGGTGGATCCGGAGATTGCGCCGCGTTGCCGCCCGTGCCGCTTCGTGGGCGCTCGTGGGCGCCGCTGAGCTTACACCGCATATTTACACCACATGGCTTGCACGACATCGCGTACACCACGTAGTTTGAACAAGCCTAAATAACATAGTTTGCACGACATATATTACGCCAGATAGCTGCACCGCACAGTTGTCACATCCAACCCACACCACACACACAGGTTACACCGAACACCATTCACCTATATTACTCACATCGCATACACTACAAGACATAGCTCACACCAAATAGCATTCACCTTCACGGTGCATTGATTCACTGTTTTGGGATCCACGTTGGCTAATTTTGTCATTGGAAGTTGTTTTGCTCAAACAGTGCCCCTGCCCCCCAGGCTACAACAATGGCTGACGCGTGAGACTTCTTTACTATCTATCCAGGGATCGCATTCGCGCTCGAAACGTCTCCCCAATTTTCTCAGGAGACGCGCTCACGCTGGGAATGTCCTCACAATAGGCGCTGCGCTCTCGACGTCCAGGAATTGCGCTCTCGCAGTAGACGTCTTTACAATTGCGAAAATCGTTTCAATGCCCCGCCCGTTAGGGTTCGCCCGCCCGACCCGCCCGTCAGGGTCCGCCCGTTCGACTGTTTGGAAGCCCGCCCGCCCGGTTGAATGTCCCGCCCGCACCGCCCGTTCGGGTCTGCCCGCCCGTCATCACCTGGGGTCCGTTCACCCGCACCCGACTCGCCCGTCAGAGTCCGCTTGCTCGATGTTTCTGGACCTTTTTCCCCTTCCCGTGTCCTGCTAAATTGTCCGCCGTCAGTCATCAGCCCTCCCTCTCGCCTCTCTCCTCTCGCGTGTCATCCTACCGTCCTTGCTCATAGGTTTCGGTTCTCAGTCCTCCTGTTTTGGGGGCCGAGCCAACTACATGAGGCAGGCAAGTCCGATGTACCCCCCAAAAGGGGGTACGACCGAAGACGGAGTGGGCGGATATCGAGGCTTCGGGGGTACGAATGTTGAATGACATGCGAGCCACGAAGAGCGAGCAGCCGTAACAGACTCGGTGTAGTTGTTGTTGTTGTTGCTGTTATCCGTAAGGGCTTCGCCCCCTGCCGCCGGCCCCCTCTCTCGGAGAATGGGCCATGGAAGAGCTAAGTCATGAGGCCTTGGCGCTGTTGTGAAGCAGTATCGAAACTTCATGCGAAGCCGATTCGCAATCAGCAAAACCAACTGATCACAAGAGGGGTTACCACACCTGGCGATTGGTAAGACGTGTATGGTGTACGGGCTTGGTTACCACACCTTGCGATTAAAGGGCCGAGGGAGTTCTCGCAGTTTGGGTTACCACGCCTTGCGATGGATGTGCGTGAAGGGTGGCACCGAATTTCAGAAATGTGCCAAATCCCTTGTGTTTTTGGACCCTGACCCCGCGGATCTGCGTAAGGGGTGGCGCCGAATGTCAGAAAGGTGGCAAATCCCCTTGTTTTTGGACCCTGACGCCGCGGATCTGCGTGAGGGGTGGCACCGAATTTCAGAAATGTGGCAAATCCCATGTGTTTTTGGACCCTGACGCCGCGGATCTGCGTGAGGGGTGGCACCGAATTTCAGAAATGTGGCAAATCCCATGTGTTTTTGAACCCTGACCCCGCGGATCTGCGTGAGGGGTGTCGATTTCGAGCCCCCCCAGCAATTCAGACAACGCGCCCAGGAGACGCCAAAAATCCCGTTTGGGCCTCCCCCCCTCGCGCGGTCTATAACGCAAGCACGAGATATAGCTGAAGTGTTTGCTGCATTTTTTGAATCTTTGTACAATGGCAAAAGCGACGTATTTCGATGTGATGCTACTTGCGATCGTGCCGCTGCTGTCACGCCGGAGGAAGTGCGCCGCCAACTGAAGAAGATGCGCGGGGGCAAGGCTGCAGATGAAAACGGCTTGGTGGCTGAACTTTTGTGCAAAGGGAGCGAGCTGTTGAGGCAGATGATAGCAGGCGTCTTCACGGCTGTATTGGACCCGGGGGCCACCGCGCCAGCCTACTGGAAGGCATCCTCAATCAGAGTCCTTTTCAAGAAAGGGGACGAACGTCTACCAGGGAATTACAGACCAATATGCATTATTCCACTATTGTATAAACTTTTCAGCAGAGTATTGTGCGGAAGGATCAAGGACAAGCTTGTTGCGGAGCAGTCTGTCGACCAAGCTGGTTTCAGACCGGGCTTCAACTGTGACGACCATTTATTTGCAGTCACACTATTAGCAGAAAAATGTAATGAATACAACATGCCGCTGTGGATTGCGACGCTGGATTTTAAAAAGGCATTTGATTCCATATCTCATTCGAGCATTTGGGAGTCTTTGGTGGCTCACGGAGTACCGTCTGTCTACGTATGCGTGCTCTCCAGACTGTATAGCGGGCAAAGGGCGCACGTCAACTGCGACGTCGCGAGCCGCGACTTCGACATCTTAAAGGGGACGAAACAAGGCGATCCCATTAGCCCGGTTATTTTCAACTGTGTGCTGGAGGAGGTAATGCGCAAGGTGAAAACACAATGGGCTGCCAGAAAGTACGGCGTCCAGCTTGGTTACACAGGACATTCTGTTTTAACCAATTTGAGGTTTGCAGATGACATTTTGCTCGTCGGCCGCTCCCTACCACAGCTCAAAAAAATGATTGCGGACGTGAAGCGAGAGAGTGCGAAAGTCGGGCTGGAGCTCCACCCGGACAAGACGAAGATACAGCACAACAACATTGGTTATGGCAGCAAAGTCAGATTGGCGGTGGTAGAGGGGATGAATATCGAAGTCATGGAGCCCACGGAAACCAATATGTATTTAGGCAGGGCGCTTACGCTTCTGGCCGTCCACGACGCTGAGCTGACGCACCGACTGAAGAGGGCGTGGGCTAAGTTCGGCACCTTCAGGCACGAGCTGACTGACAAAGCAGTGCCGATTGGTCTTCGGATGAAGCTTTTCCATTCCGTGGTTACCCCGACAGCGCTGTATGGTTGCGGCAGCTGGGTAATGACAGCGGAACGAGATTCAAAACTGAAAGGGACACAGCTCAAAATGGTCCGGGCTATGTTGGGGCGGGGACGAGTGTACAAGCAGGACGGGGACGTGGAGACATGGGTAGATTGGGTACAGCGTGTGACGACGGAGGCGCGCCACTGGATGGAGGAACACCACGTACCCTGCTGGACGGAGGAGCGCCGATCCCGGCTGCAGGGCTGGAGCGAAGGACTCAATGGCATGAGCTACGACCGGTGGGCCCGGCGAGTCCACGACTGGACATCTGACGGGCGGAGAGCCCGCGGGCGCCCTCTGACACGATGGGCTGACCAATTACGCTGAGCCCGTGAGGGCACGTAGCCGCGCGCGCGCAGCTCGTTTTCAGCGACCGTTCCGTTCCGTTCCGTTCCCCCTCGCGCGGTCAATCAATTACTTACAGTAGCCAGCAAGAAGTCAACTAGTTACAGTAACCAGCAAGAAGCAGAACTGTAACACTGGAAACTACAAAGTACAACTGGTACAGGAAACTGCGAATCACGCGCCTCGCAGCCTGGTGGCCCCACAAGGGGGCCGGCGGATTGCACCCCGGGAGCCCTGGCCCTCGAGAAGTGACGACCTTCACGAGTGTGACGCTTTTCCCGACTTGCCAGAGGCCTTTGCCAGGTCTGCAAAAGTGGCGAGCCTTACAGGGATGGCGCCTCTTCTGAGGCCTGTGCCGGGTCTGCGTCTGCGTTTTTTGGTACCGTCGTTGTTATGGCATGTGGGGTCATTTTGGGGGTCAGCGTTGGGGTAATTGAATCAGAGGAGAAACAGCGACCAACGCCACCGAGAACCCATTGGGGAGGGGACAGATTCTTCGGCGATAGCACGCCCGAGCGTCACTTAACACCGGACGACGCTCAGGCGTGGCGATGGTCTTTGGTTCGCCTTGGTTGGTTGGAGTGACGTCGTCGCAAGCGCTCGGGATGCAATTCTTGTTAGGAGCAGCTCTTGAGAGGCTTAACTCAGCATCGGCTCTGGTAGATCCATGGTCGAAAACCGGCCCAACCTGGCAGAATCCCACCTAATTCCGCTCCATCGGGCTTGATCCTGGGTTTAATTTGGGCTTAATGTTGGCCGGCGTGTTGGCCCCCTTGCCAGGCCCAGTAGCGCTCATTCGTTCTTACGATGATTTCCCGGGATGTGTTTCCTGACCCTCGGACCGAGCACAGGGTGCGGGAAGCGGGGAGAGTAGATCGGCCTTTGTTGCGGCTGGCTCTCGCTGCTCCCCAGCAGCGGGGGTCATTGTTGGTGAAGCTGCCCCACCGTGGGGCCGCTGGCTCGGTCCCGAAGCTCCCGTGGCCTCCACGAGGCCCGGGGAGTTGCCAAAAAATACCCGAGGCGGGGGTTTACACATAACCACCGCTTGGGAGATCCAGCCAGCGCCGCGCATCCGCGCGGACCTCCGCAAGCTTGTGTTTGTGCAGTTCGTTGTTCTCGTGGAGGAGCGCACGGCCCCAAGGGCCGCTGGTTTTGCAACTGCTGCCGCTGCAACAGACAATTGTTTGGGCCCATCACGGTTGGCGGCAACGGCGTTGCATCATTTGTTGGCGAAGTCGCTTGTCCAACCGCCCAGATGTGGTGCGCTACATGACTCAAGAATCACATTATTTGCATGCCCTCCTGACCAGAGGGTGCAAACGCGTGTTATGTTCACAAGCGTAATGGATGGGTTGCTAAAGTGAGGGAGGGGCCGAGTGGTCGAGGGGGAATCGCATCAGGAGGAACAGCAGCAGGATGAGCACGAGCAAGAGCTGTTGCCTTGTTCCGAAAGAGCGTGCGTGTCTTAAGACTCCTGCGCAAAGGACGGCACTGCGCGCCTGTGGAGTTTGGCGACCACGGGGAGTTCGCTCAGCCCTGTCGGTGTCGCTTGGTTCCCGTGAGGATTTGGAGTTGGACAGGAAGGGGGCAGAGGAGGCGAACGGAGGATGAGAAGGAGAAGGCAGGAATGAGTTTTGTTTGGCCACCAAGGCTTCGGCCAACCTTGTCGGACACGCTTTGGTCTCCGTTTGGAGAGCGGCTCGCGCTCTGGCTCGCGACGTCGAGGCAAGGGCAGGAAGTTGCTCCGTGCGGAGGTTTCTCGGTGCGCCTCCCCCTGTGCCCCGTTCTTCTTCATCCTCCTCCTCTCTCTCCAGGGGATCGGAGGGGATTTTCGTCTGCAGAGGACCGGAACACCAGTCCGATGTTCTCTGCTTATCGATGCCATCTCGGGTCCAGGGCTCTCGTACAACGAAACATCCCCCTCTTTCCCTCCTCGAGCCCCAGCAGCTCGAGCACACACATCCGTGCGAGATAGATCCCCCCAGTTGAAACGTGATGGGAGGGCCCCTGGCTGCGGCGCGGCCAACGGCCACGATGCGCGCTGGCCCTTCCTGCATTCAGAGCCCTGGAGCGTCGGCTTCTATTGCCTGTGCAAGTGCGGTTGCTTCGAACTTCGGGCACCCGCCATTTCTCCTTACCATTATCATCCGGATGTTGAGGGCGATAGACACGGGGAGCGAACAGAGAGTGGTGGGAGGGGGGGGAGGCGGCAGAATTAGGGGCAACGATAGGGGGGGGGGGGGGGTAGGCATAGGGGGATGCATCGACCCCCAATCGCCCATTGAATGCCGATAGGGGTCTGATAGCCCCACCCCGCCCAGTAATGTGGGGACTTGCTACCGGGGGCCCTATCGGCGATGTATCGCCGATTCCAGGTCGATGTTTCCTTCCCTATGCCAGTTCCCCCCCTATCGTTGCCCCTCAGAAGAGGGAGGGCGGGCACAGTTGGCGAAGTTGGGTTTGACAGCGCCTTCTTGTGGCAAGGATGGTGAGCGGACCACGGCATACCTTACGAATCCATGGGCACCCGGGGAAAGGCGATACTCAGAGCGTCGAATTTGTCAATGCTTCGGCCTGCACGCAGGCAAGCACCGACAAAGGGTCAGATAAGCGGAAGGATGGCAATGTCCAATCCCATCCAGAAACGATGCCCAGCGGATCTGTCGGGATGAGAAGGAACGTACAGGATCATAGTTTGAGGAGGTCTCTAGTGTTGGGAACCCCCTATTTCTCTCGGCAGGCAAGCTCGCCCCTTCTTCTCTTCCTCCTCCTCCTCCTCCTCCTTCTCCTCCTCCCCCCTCCCAGTTCGCCGGTTCGTATTCGTGACACCATGGCCAAAAGAGATAGGACCAGGGCGCTCCACGGGCTCGCTAAACAAATCAGCGGTTCATCGGTCGAAGGTATTATCGAAAGTTGTGTGGGGTTGCTCTATACTTAAAGTGCCAAACAGCCGTGTTCAACAGTTACGGATGTCCTTTCTGAACGCGGGGTCACGGTTCAAGTTTGGATCTTCGGTGGGTTTTTCATTGATGTGCGCAGACAGCGGATGGGAGAACGATCTTTGGTGAATGCATCCTCGGACGTTGTATATCTTTTGATTTTTCAGACAGGAGCGATAACGACGGAGATTGTTACTGCTCGAATGCGCTCGGCCCAGCCGCTCGTGGGAGAGTCCCAGGCCTGGCTGAAGCGCAAGAACCCAATCGCGGCGCTTTTTTACGTTGTATCGTATTTGCTGGAAGTTTCGAGACCCAACGACCGTGGTTGATGACAGAGGTTGCACCTGGGATGCCCGCTTCTATTCGGCCAGTTTCATGCCCCAGCTGGTCAAGCACGGGGTCCGACGCCAGGTGGATAGAGATGCGATGGCTCGAATGCAAGGTGCAGGCACTATGCGCACAGGCCCACTTGGCTGGGGGCCGATTCATCAATCTTTCCACTGCAGAGGCCTTTCGCCTCACGAGAAGCGCTCCCTGAATGGCGTCATCACTGGAGGACTCCGGTTCGGGTGACGAGAATTTTCATTGGAGAGGCGCACTTTTGTTTGCGATGCGGTGCGGCTGCCGGGACACTGTCAACCGTTTGTGACGTCTACGAGAGCCATCGACGGACGTTGATCCCAACGGAAATTCGGAAGGCCGCGCAATCCCTCAGAGCCGAGCCGTTCGACGGACAAGACATGTTCGCCAGTGGGCTCTTGTCACACTTCGGGCAGGCCTTTTACGGCAAGCCCAGGTCGAATCGTCACGATTTCACGGGCGTGGACCGCACAGGACCCATCACATTGCAGGACAAGTATGTATTCGTAGACGGCAGCGGGTACGACGCCAAGTACCCAGAAGTGAGATCACCTTGCTGGGCTGCTTCAGTCTATTCTACAGAGAGAGAGAGAGAGAGAGAAAGCGCGGCTGGGTCGTTTCTTGGGCGCCGTGCCGCGGGAAGAAGGCCCCAGCCAAATGGCTCGTGACGGTGAAGATTACGCGCTGTACCAAGCGAGCCAGATGATCATGGGAAGCTTCACGGCGCGCTCGGACTGCAAGGGCCTCGCCAGTTGCCGCCGCAACCTGGGCCAGGCGAGCGGACCGAGCAACCTTCGAGCTCACATCTGGAGACGCGCATCCCTGAATGACGACTTCTGCCGTGCGAGTGCAATTCACGCGAAAGTCCACACCTCGCATCGCAGAACATGCGCGAGAAGGGTCGATATCCCAATTTAAACAGGGCTGCAACGAAGAAGCTGACGCCATGGCCAAGCAAGGCGCGGGTTATCATCGCGCCGATGTTTCGGTCTTGGTCCTGCCCCGAGGGGCTGCTCCACAAATACCTCACGACCTTCGAAGTTTGCTTCACGAACAGCAGGGCCGGGTTCACGGATCACGCCTTCCTTGGGCCCGAGGAAGGTGCCCCGGCGACGAGAGAGGAGGAAGTTGCAGCCGTGGAAGTTGTTAGTCCGTGGCCGCGGCGCCTTCATGGCCATTTAATTTTGGAGTTGAGCATTGTGGGCAGCGATGAGGCTCTGTTGCACTGCTCGTCTTGCTGCAAGCGCGTGGACACTGGAAGTTTGAACTGCCACGGACACGAACTGGACACGGCATGCACGGGCAAAGCGAGAAGATCTGGTCGCACTGCAGAGAACACCACACATTTCACGAACTTGAGATACCCGCAGGCACGCAAAAGCCACGCGAGGCTGGAGGAGGCGAACACTCCGTCAGATGCCTCGCGAAGTTTCTGATGCAGGGCCAAGCACTGGACTGACCCTGCAGCTGGAATCGAACTGCATGTGCCCAGAAGCGAGCGGGGACGAGTGAATGCACCGAGATTGCTGGACATAGGTACCCTGTTGCGCGACTACGGGCGTTCATCTGACGACCTGGTGGCCTTCGGTGCCACCGCCGACACGGAGTCCGACGACGAGCTCTGGGAGCGGCGTTCGATGCCCTTGGAGTTCGCAGGGTTCGACTTGCACGACGCGCTCCTCCTCGGCGTCGTCTCCAAGAGCACGATGGCGAGGGTGCCTTTCCAGGCCCGTTTTGCTGCGGCCGCCGAGTCCGCCGCGCTGCGCGGTTTCGGCCCTAGCCCCCCATTTCGGCCAGCTGTCTGCCCCCTGTCCGCCCTAGGGCTTCGGGGTAAACAGCGGCCGAGGCAGGCGCGTTGGGACTGTGAGCGCCCTCCTGAACCAATTGCCTCCCGGCGCCTGCTCGCTCGCTCGCCCCCCCCCTCGTCGTCGTCGCGGCTGAGATTGTACCACTACGACGACGACGACGACGACGACGACTACTAGTAGCAGTAGTAGTAGTAGTAGTAGTAGTAGTAGTAGTAGCAGTAGCAGTAGTAGTAGTAGTAGTAGTAGTAGTAGTCGTAGTAGTAGTAGCAGTAGTAGTAGTAGTAGTAGTAGTCGTCGTCGTAGTAGTAGTCGTGGTAGTCGTAGTCGTAGTCGTCATAGCAGTAGTAGTAGTAGTAGTCGTAGTAGTAGTAGTAGTAGTCGTAGTAGTCGTAGTCGTAGTAGTCGTAGTAGTCGTAGTAGTCGTAGCAGTAGTAGTAGTAGTAGTAGTAGTAGTAGTCGTAGTCGTAGTCGTAGTCGTAGTAGTCGTAGTAGTCGTAGTCGTAGTCGTAGTCGTAGTACCAGTACCAGTACTAGGACTACTACTACTACTACTACTACTATTATTACTACGACTACTACTACTACTGCGACTACGACAACGACTACTACCACTACTACTACTACTACTACTACTACTGCTACTTCTACTACTACTGCTGCTACTACTACTACGACGACTACTACTACTATTATTACTACTACTACGACTACTACTACTACTACGACTACTTCTACTACTACTTCTACTTCTACTTGTACTTCTACTACTACTACTACCACTACTACTACTACTACTACTACTACGACTACTACTACTACTACTACTACCACTAGTACTACGACTACTATTACTACTGCTACTGCTACTGCTACTACTGCTACAACTGCTATTGCTACTACTACTTCTACTACTACTACTACGACTACTACTACTACCACTACTGCTACTACTATTACTACTATTGCTACCACCGCTACAACTACTATTACTACTACTACTACTACTACTACTTTTACGACTACTCGTACTACTACTACTACTACTACTATTACTACTACTACTACTACTACTACTACTACTACTACGACTACTACTACTACTACTACCTACTAGTACTACGACTACTAATACCACTTCTACTACTACTACTGCTACTACTACTACTACTACTACTACGACTACTACGACTACTACGACTACTACGACTACTACTGACTACTACGACTACTACACTACTACTACTACTACTACTACTACTACTACTACTACTGCTGCAACTACTTCGACTAATATCCCCACTACGATTATGACTACTACGAGCATTATAGGTATTGCTACTACTAGTACTAACACAACTACAACTGCAACTACTATTACCACTACTACTACTACTACTACTACTA